CTTCTCCCTTTTCTTCTTTATTAGTCTGGCTGGTGGTCTATGTATTTTGTTAATCTTTTCAAAAAATTACCTCCTAGAGTCACTGATTTTTTTTAAGGGTTTTTCATGTCCCTATCTCCTTTAGTTCTACCCTGATTTTAGTTATTTCTTGTCTTCCACTAGCTTCTGAATGTGTTGGGGCATTTTCTTTTCTCCTTTTGCTTCTAGATTTTAAATCTTTCCCACTTTCTCCTGTGGGCATTTAGTGCTATAAATTTCCCTCTAGACATGCTTTGGCTGTGTCCTAGAGATTCTGGTATGTTGTGTCTTTGTTCTCATTGGTTTCAAAAAAATTAATTTATTTCTTCCTTAATTTTGTTATTTACCCAGAAGTTATTCAGGAGGAGTTGTTCAGTTTCCATGTAGATGTGAGGTTTTCAGTGAGTTTCTTAGTCCTGAGTTCTAATTTGATTGCAATGTGGTCTGAGAGACTGTTATTATTTTCATTCTTTGGATTTGCTGAGAAGTGTTTTACTTCCAATTATGTGGTCAATTTTAGAGTAAGTGTGATGTGGTGCTGAGAAGAATGTATATTCTGTTGTTTTGGGGTGGAGCATTCTATAGATGCCTATTAGGTCCACTTGGTCCAGAGCTGAGTTCAAGTCCTGAATACCCTTGTTAATATTCGGTCTCGCCAATCTGTCTAATATTGATAGTGAGGTGTTAAAGTCTCCCACTATTATTGTGTGGGAGTCTAAGTCTCTTTTTAGGTCTCTAAGAACTTTCTTTATGAATCTGGGTGCTCCTCTGTTGGGTGCATGTATATTTAGGATAGTTAGCTCTTCTTGTGGCATTGATTCCTTTACCATTATGTAATACCCTTCTTTGTGTTTTTTGATCTTTGATGATTTAAAGTCCATTTTATCAGAGACTAGGATTGCAACCCCTGCTTTTCTGTCTTTTTTTTTTTTTTTATTTCCATTTGCTTGGTAAATATTCCTCCATTCCTTTATTTTGAGCCTATGTGTGTCTTTGCACACTGAATAGAGCACACTAATGTGTGAATGCAGCACACTGATGGGTCTTGACTCTTTATCCAACTTGCCAGTCTGTGCCCTTTAACTGGGGCATTTAGCCTGTTTACCTTTAAGGTTAATATTGTTATGTGTGAATTTGATCTTGTCATTATGATGCTAGCTGATTATTTTGCCCATTAGTTGATGCAGTTTCTTCATAGTGTCAACGGTCTTTACAATTTGGTATGTTTTTCCAGTGGCTGGTACTGGTTTTTCCTTTCTGTATTTAGTACTTCCTTCAGGAGCTCTTGTAAGGCAGGCCTGGTGGTGACAAAATCTCTCAGAATTTGCTTGAGTGTAAAGGATTTTATTTCTCCTTTGCTTATGAAGCTTAGTTTGGCTGGATATGAAATTCTGCATTGAAAATTCTTTTCTTTGAGAATGTTGAATATTGGTTCCCCCTCTCTTCTGGCTTGTAGGGTTTATACAGAGAGATCCACTGTTAGTTTGATGGACTTCCCTTTGTGGGTAACTCGACCTTTCTCTATGGCTTCCCTTAACATGTATTCCTTCATTTTGACCTTGGTGATTCTGATGATTATGTGTCTTGGAGTTGCTCTTCTTGAGAAATATCTTTGTGGTGTTCTCTGTATTTCCCAAATTTGAATGTTGGCCTGTCTTGCTAGGTTGAGAAAGTTCTTCTGAATAACATCCTGAAGTGTGTTTTCCAACTTGATTCCATTCTCCCTGTCACTTTCAGATACACCAATCAAATGTAGGTTTGGTCTTTTCACATAGTCTCATATTTCTTGGAGGCTTTGTTCATTCCTTTTCATTCTTTTTTCTCTAATCTTGTCTTCACACTGTTTCATTAAGTTGATCTTCAATCTCTGATATCCTTTCTTCCACTTGATCCATTAGGCTATTGATATTTATGTATGGCTTACGAAGTTCTCGTGCTGTGTTTTTCAGCTCCATGCAGTTATTTATGTTCTTCTCTATTCCAGTAGCAATTCCTCTAACCTTTTTTTCAAGGTTCTTAGCTTCCTTGCATTTGAATTAGAACATGATCCTTTAGCTCAGCTTACCCACCTTGTGAAGCCTACTTCTGTCAATTCATCAAACTCATTCTCTGCCCAGTTTTGTTCCCTTACTGGTGAAGAGTTGTGATCCTTCAGAAGAGAAGAGGCATTCTGGTTTTTGGAATTGTCAGCCTTTTTGTGCTGGTTTTTCCTTATCTTCATAGATTTATCTACCTTTGGTCTTCAGTGTTGGTGATCTTCAAATGGAGTTTCTGTGTGGACATCCTTTTTGTTGATGTTGATGCTATTCCTTTCTGTTTGTTAGTTTTCCTTCTAACAGTCAGGTCCCTCTGCTGCAGGTCTGCTGGAGTTTGCTGGAGGTCCACTCCAGACCCTGTTTGCCTGGGTATCACCAGCAGAGGCTGCAGAACAGCAAAGATTCCTTCCTCTGGAAGCTTCATCCCAGAGGAGGACCTGCCAGATGCCAGCCAGAGCTCTCCTGTATTAGGTGTCTGTCAACCCCTGCTGTGAGGTATCTCTCAGTCAGGAGGCAAGAGAGTCAGGGACTCACTTGAGGAGGCAGTCTGTCCCTTAGCAGAGTTTGAGCTTGAGCAGCTGGGAGATCTGCTGCTCTCTTCAGAGCTGCCAGGAAGAAACATTTATGCCTGCTAAAGCTGTGCCCACAGCCACCCTTTCCCGCAGGTGCTCTGTCCCCGGGAGATGGGAGTTTTATTGATAAGCCCCTAACTGGGGCTGCTGCTTTTCTTTCAGAGATGCTCTGCCCAGATAGGAGGAATCTAGAGAGGTGGTCTGGCTATAGCAGCTTTGCCAAGCTGTGGTGGGTTCCATCCAGTTCAAACTTCCCAGCGGCTTTGTTTACACTGTGAGAGGAAAACTGCCTATTCAAGCCTCAGTAATGGTGGACACCCTGTCCCCTCACCAAGCTTGAGCATCCCAGGCCAACTTCAGACTGCTGTGCTGACAGCAAGAATTTCAAGCCAGTAGATCTTAGCTTGCTGGGCTCCATGGGGGTGGGATCCACTGAGCTAGACCACTTGGGTCCCTGGCTTCAGCCCTCTTTCCAAGGGAGTGATGGTTCTGTCTCACTGGCATTCCAGGTGCCACTGGGGTGCAATAAAAAACTTCTGCAGCTAGCTCAGTGTCTGCCCAAATGGCCACCCAGTTTTGTGCTTGAAACTCAGGGCCCTGGTGGCAAAGGTGCCCAAGGGAATCTCCTGGTCTTTGGGTTACAAAGACCATGGGAAAAGTGTACTATCTGGGCCAGAGTGCACCATTCCTCACAGCACAGGCATTCAGTTTCCCTTGGCTAGGGGAGGGAGTTCCCTGAACCCTTGCACTTCATGGTTGAGGTAACACCCCAACCTGCTTTGTCTTGCTCTCTTTGTCTTGCTTGCTGCACCCACTGTCTAGCGAGTCCCAATGAGAGGAGCCAGGTACCTCAGTTGGAAATGCAGAAATCAGCCACCTTCTATGTTGATCTCACCAGGAGCTACAGATCACAGTTGTTTCTATTCGGCCAACTTGCCAACCACCACATTATAAATTTTATCCTGTTAGGTACCAGATATTTTTGCATTCCTATAAGTATTCCTTAGATTTTCCTGAGATGCTGTTAAAATATTTGAAAACAGGTTGACCTTTTTGAAGCTTGCTTGTAAGCTTTGTTAGATAAGACTAAAGCAGCGTTTATTCTAGGGTTAATTTTCTCCACTACCAAGGCAAAACCCTTCTGGGTTCTGTCCCTAATGCTCCATGAATTATGGATTCCACTCTATATAGTGGTACTAGGCACCATATCAGTCACGTATGAGTGTCATACATTGTCCCATCTAATCTTTTTAGGTGTTTCTTTCCCTGGCCTCAGGCAGTTTCCTCAAATGCATGCTCTCAGTAGTATTCAGATGAATATTCAAAGACCCTCTGCAAATTTTTGAAGTTCTTTCTATCTTTTGTGTGACCCTCTCCTCTCCTTTAGTTAGACTGCAATAAGTTAGAAATGTATACTATAAATCCTGAAGAAAACACCAAAATTACAAAACAAAGAGTTACAACAAATAAGTCAACAAAAGTAATAAAATGGAATAATAAAAATACTCATTACAAATGATAATAGACATCTTAGGCAAATCTAATACAACAATATATTAAAAGGTTAATACGTCATGACTAGGAAGTTTAGGTTGGTTTAATATTCAAAAATCAACGTAATTCACCATGCTAACAGACAAAAAAATATAATCCTCTCAATAGATACAGAAAAAGCATTTGACAAAATTTAATGATCATTTCTTATTTTTAAAGTGCTCAGAAAACTGGAAATAAGAGAGAACTTCCTCACCCTGATAAAGTTCATCTGTAATAACCTATACCTAATATCACACTTGAAGCAAAAGTCAAGTACAAATGGCTTTACCAGTGGATTTTACCACACACTGAAGAAACAAATAATGCCAATACTACACAAACATAGATGCAAAAATTCAAAACAAATTATTAGCAAATTGAATCCAGCAATTTATAAAAAGAACAATACATTACAATTAACTTGGGCTTATTCTAAGAAAGCGAAGTTTGTTTACTACTTGGAAATTGATCAATGTAATTGATTGTAATTCACAAATTAAAAGGATGAAGAAGAAAAAAATTGCATAATTATCTCTATAGATATAGAAAAGCCATTTGATAAAATTCAATACCTGTTCTTGTTTAAAATTAGAAAGCAATAAAAAGCTTAGCAAATTAATGACAGAAGGAAACTTCCTTAATTTCATAAAGGACAACTATAAAAAAATTGCAGCAAACATCATTTTTACTGACAAATATTGAAAGACTTACCCTTGATATCAAGAGTGATGCAATGATGCTCACTTTCACCTTCCTTATTCAACATTATATCACAGATCTTATGTAATGCAAGGCAAGAGGCAGAGGAGGATAAAATAATCAAAAATAAATAAATAGGATCATCTTGTAGTTCATAAGCATGATGATTGGCTTTTCACACACGTATGAGATGTGCCTCCCTCAAACCTTGGTATTATGTTGGCACATTACCCATCTGATGTGAAACAGAAAAATAAAGAAAAGAAAGAAAAATAAAGCTGTCTCTTGGTATATCTGAAAACTGAAAAGAATGTACAAAGAAACTGATAGAGTTAAAAAATTAATTTAACCAAGTCAAGCAAAGTCACAGCTCAATATACAAAAATTAATTGTATTTCTATATACAACCACTATATATATATATATATATATATATATATATATATATAGTCCTTTTCTGTAGCATCAAAACATAAGTACCCTTAAATAAATCCAAGAAAATATGTGCAAAACCCGAAGACAAAAAAACCAACATGCTTGATTAAGATAAATTAAAGAAGACTGAAATAGGTGGGGTAAGACAACACAGTTATAGGTTGAAACAAATCAATATTGTAAATGTATTAATTCTCCCCAGATTGACATAAAATTCACTGCCATTCTAATAAAAAAATCTCAACGTTTTGAAAAATGTTGTAGACATTGATAAACTGATTCCAAAATTTATGTAAAAGTGCAAAGTATCAAAATAGCTAGGAGAATCTTGAGAAAGAGTAACAAATGTGGAGGTCTTAAACTACCAGATATTAAGCTACATTATAAAGCTCCTGTAATTCAGACACTTGTAGAAGAGCACAAAGTTAGCCAATGCACAATAGAACAAAATAGAGAACCCATAAACAGACTCATGTGTGCTGTCATTTGCCTTATCACAAAAATAAGATGACAGAACAGTGGGAAATAGTCTTTTAAATAAATGAAGCGGCGGATGCTGGGAAGATGGCCGCCTAAGAACAGCTCAGGACTTCAGCTCCCAGTGAAAGTGCAGAGGGTGAGTGGACGCCCCATTTCCAGACGAATTTTTATTGCCCACAGACCAGGAGATACCCAGGCAAAGGGGTCACCAGCGCCACTGTTCCGGCCGGTGCGGCTGTTTTGGCCCCAGTGGGGCTGATTCGGCCCACACGGCTGCTGTGACCATGCCCTGTTGCGGTGGTTCTCCGTACAAAAGCCACTGGTCTGGGAGCCCTCTTAGCTGGTGAGCCCTGAGACGGCAGAGTTGCCCATTCATCTGAAATAGCAAGCCAGGCCAGGAGATTCCTAGGAAAAAATCCACGAGGAGCCAGCGCCACAGTTTGAGCCGACTCAGTGAGTCGCGGCACGAGAGATCCTGGCGCCTTTTCAACAAGCGACTGGAACGCTGGGTCATTCCACTTAAAAAATAAAAAAAAGACTCTGAGTCAGGGAGCCAGTTGATCAGGCTCAGCTGGTCCCACACCCCACCCCCAACAACAAGGAAAACAAAAACAGTAATTGAAAACTCTCTGGGTTGAGTGTTTCACAGCAAGCACAGCTGAACCCAGGATGGTCTGGCTCAGTGGGGGAGGGGCATCCGCCATTACTGAGACTCTCCACCACTAAGGAGGCAGGCCGCTGTTGCTAAGGCAACCCGCCATTGCTGAGGCAACCTGCTACAACAGAGAGAGTCGGCCATAACAGAGGCGGGGCCACCATTGCCGAGGCAGTCTAACTACACCCACAAAAACAGGACTGCAGGGAAGAGCTGCAGGGAAGAGCACAGGGAAGAGCACAGGGAAGAGCACAGTAGCTCAGCAAAGCCTCTGCAGGCAGACAGTGGCCAGGTGGGTTGATAGCTGGGCGGGGCAGACCTGAAAGAAAAAAACAAATGCAGCAGCACAATGGAAACTCATAAAGCCCTAACTCCCCGGGACAGAGCACCTGGGAACAAAAAGTGGTTTATGAGTTCAGCTGCAGCAGGCCTAAACATACCTGCCAAGCAGCCCTGAATGAACAACGGAGCTCACAGCTCAGGACATAAGCCCCAATAAAAGATAGACTGTCTCCTCAAGTAGCTCCCTGACCCCCATAGATCCAAAGACTCACCTCATAAAGGAGAGAATGAACTGACAGTTGGCGAGCATCCTTCTGGGACAAAGATAGCAGAAGAGGAAACTGGTAGCAACCCTTACTGTTCTGCAGCTGCTGCAGGTGATTCCCAGGCAAGCAGGGCCTGGAGAGGACATCAGTAGTAGGGCCAGACTGTTAGAAGGAAAGCTTAAAAAAAAAAAAAGTAACTTCAGCATCCACGAACTAGAAGCTCACTCAGAGACCCAATCTGAAAGACAGTAACTACAAAGACAACAGGTGGATAAACCTACAAAAATGGGAAGAAACCAGCACAAAAAGGATGAAAACTCCCGAAACCAGAACACCTCTCCTCCTAAAAGGGATCACAACTCCTCACCAGCAAGAGAACCAGACCAGATGGAGAAGGATTGTGATGAAATGACAGAATCAGACTTCAGAAGGTTGGTAGTAAGAAACTACAGTGAGGTAAAAGAACATGTTCTAACCCAACGCAAAGAAACTAGGAACCTTGAAAAAAGATTGGACAAAATGCTAACGAGAATGGACAACATAGAGAGGAATATAAGTAAATTGATGGAGCAGAAAAACACAACACGAGAACTTCGTGAAGCATGCACAAGCTTCAACAGCCAAATTGACCAAGCAGAAGAAAGGATATCAGAGGTTGAAGATCAACTCAATGAAATAAAAAGAGAAGGCAAGAACGGAGAAAAAAGCACAAAAAGGAATGAACAAAATCTTCAAGAAATGTGGGACTATGTGAAAAGACCTAACCTACGTTTGATAGGTGTACCTGAATGTGATGAAGAGAATGAATCCAAGCTGGAAAATACTCTTCAGGATATTATCCAGGAAAACTTCCTCAACCTAGCAAGGCAGGCCAATATTCAAATGTAGGAAATACAGAGAACACCACAAAGATATTCCTCAAGAAGAGCAACCCCAAGGCACATAATCATCAGATTCAACAGGGTTGAAATGAAAGAGAAAATGCTAAGGGCAGCCAGAGAGAAAGGTCGGGTTACCCACAAAGGGAAGCCCATTAGACTCACAGCAGATCTCTCAGCAGAAACCCTACAAGCCAGAAGAGATTGGGGGGCAATATTCAACATCCTTAAAGAAAAGAACTTTCAACCCAGAATCTCCTATCCAGCCAAACTAAGCTTCATAAGTGGAGGAAAAATAAAATCCTTTGTGAACAAGCAAGCACTCAGAGATTTCATCACCACCAAACCTGCTCTATAAGAACTCCTGAAAGAGGCTCTACACATATAAAGGAACAACTAGTACCAGCCACTCCAAAAACATACCAAGTGGTAAAAGAGCATCAACACAATCAAAAATCTGCATCAACTAACCAACAAAACAGCCAGGTAGCAGCAAAATGACAGTATCAAATTCACACATAACAATACTATCCCTAAATGTAAATGGTCTAAATGCCCCAGTCAAAAGACACAGACTGGCAAATTGGATAAAAAGCCAAAACCCATCAGTGTGCTGTATCCAGGAAACACATCTTACATGCAAGGATACACAAAGGCTCAAAATAAAGGGATGGAGGAAGATCTACTAAGTAAATGGAGAGCAAAAAAAAAAGGCAGGAGTTGCAATTCTCTTCTCTGATAAAACAGACTTTAAAGCAACAAAGATCAAAAGAGACAAAGAAGGACATCACATAATGGTAAAAGGATCACTGCAACAAGAAGAGCTAACAATCCTAAATATATACACACCCAATACAGGAGCACCCAGATACATAACGCAAGTTCTTAATGACTTACAAAGAGACTTAGACTCCCACACAATAATGGTGGGAGACTTTAACAACCCATTGTCAATATTAGATCAACCAGACAGAAAATCAACAAGGATATCCAGGACCTGAACTCAGACCTGGAACAAGCAAACCTAATAGACATTTATAGAACTCTCCACCCCAAATCCACAGAATATACATTCTTCTCAGCACCACATCACACCTACTCTAAAATTGACCACAGAATCGGCAATAAATCACTCCTCAGCAAATAGAAAAGAATGGAAATCATAAGAAGCGTCTCTCAGACCACAGTGCAATCGAGTTAGAACTCAGAATGCAGAAACTAACTCAGAACCGCACAGCTTCATGGAAACTGAATGACTTGCTCCTGAATGTTGACTGGATAAACAATGAAATGAAGGCAGAAATAAAGATGTTCTTCGAAACCAATGAGAATGAAGACACAACATACCAGAATCTGTGGGACACATTTAAAGCAGTCTCTAGAGGAAAATATATAGCAATGAGTGCCCACATGAGAAGAAAGGAGAGATCTAAAATTGACACCCTATCATTAAAATTGAAAGAGCTAGAGGAGCAAGATCAAAAAAACTCAAAACCTAGCAGAAGACAGGAAATAACTAAGATCAGAGCAGAACTGAAGGAAATAGAGACACAAAAAACTCTTCAAAAAATCAATAAATCCAGGAGCTGGATTTTCAAAAAGATCAACAAAATAGACCACTAGCCAGATTAATAAAAAAGAAAAGAGAGAATAACCAAATTGATGCAATAAAAAACGATAAAGGGGATATCACCACAGATTCCACAGAAATCCAAACCATCATCAGAGATTATTACAAACAACTCTATGCACATAAACTAGTAAACGTGGAAGAAATGGATAAATTCCTGGACACCTGCATCCTCCCAAGCCTAAACCCGGAAGAAGCCGAAACCCTGAATAGACCAATAACAAGGTCTGAAGTCGAGGCAGCAATAAAGAGCCTACCACCCAAAAAAAGCCCAGGTCCAGATGGGTTCACAACCGAATTCTACCAGACATACAAAGAGGAATTGGTACCATTCCTTCTGAAACTATTCCAGACAATCCAAAAAGACGGAATCCTTCCCAAATGATTTTATGAGACAAACATCATCCTGATACCAAAACCCGGCAGAGACTCAACAAGAAAAGAAAACTTCAGGCCAATATCCATGATGAACATAGATGCAAAAATCTTCAAAAAATACTGGCAAGCCGATTGCAACAGCGTATCAAAAAGCTCATCCACCATGATCAAGTAGGATTCATCCCGGGGATGCAAGGCTGGTTCAAAATACGCAAGTCCATAAATGTAATTCACCAC